GTTAAGTATAACAACTAAGTACGTACTACTATATATTTAGTTTAGTTTAGTGTATATATTATATATAGTACGTATAGTATATACTACTATATATATATATATATATATATATATATATATATATATATATGAGCAATGATTTTATGCAACCACTTGTATAGTAATATGATGCAACAACCTTAAAAAACCATCTCGTGGCCATTTGTTTGATCCAAATTTTGAAATATACACTCTTTTCATTCTAATGAACAATCAACAAAAAAAAAAAAAAAATTGAAAACACAACCTTAAAAATATTTTTTACCCCAATTAACATAGGCAATTTATTTTGGTGAGATGCTTAGATCTAGGCTTCAGAAGGATTTTTTCATTTCCAAGTGTTTTGGATGTTTTTATTATCATTAGATGAACAATGTTAAAAAATGAAAAAATGATTTTGAGTTTATAAATGATATAATCTTGAAATGCACAAAATGAATGGTCTAAATTCATTTTTGGAGGAGACTCATTTTGACTATATCTATGGTTCAAATTGAACTTTGTTTTTGGAGGATTGATTATTGAGATGAAGAGAGTGTGTGTGTAAAATTTGAGGCCATACAAATACCACAAACATGGTTAGTGTCATTACATTATACTATGATACAACCGTTCATTAGATCATATATATATATATATATATATATATATAAGTAATGGACGGTGGGATGTTATGTTCAATCTAAAGATTATTTTTGGGACTAAAATTTACAAGTCAATATTGATAATCTCGGCCAATGGAATTTGAATTTCAAGTATAAATTATTTGCAAACTGTATTTTTTAAGTACTAATTTTTATTCATTTTACTTTTTTATATAGGGTGCAATTTGTATATAGCCGAGGCTCTAAACGATCGAAGTAGAGCCTACCTTCAAATAGGGTCAAGAAATGTAGCTTTTATATTGGAAATCTTTGTGATAGCCTTAAAATATATTATCATCTCTACTTATAAAATTTAAAGCTTAAAAAATAGTGTAGATCGAGCAGATATATAAAAACTTTAAAAATCTTGAAAATTGACAGTAAAAAAAATGCATTACAAGATGCATTATTTCTTAAATTTGAAATCTTTTTTTTTTTTTCTCATATCCACGCACCTTGATGTATAGATGATTTGAGGATATTTGAGCATCAAAACGAAATCTTCTAG